ATCAGTCATTATTGACTGGCTCTTTGCCGCCTCTTAAGTTGGCTTTCGTAAGGAATCCAACACGACAAAGAACTAATGGTAACTTTTACCCCTGCCAGCCACCAGTTGTGTGAAAGTGATGATAGTGATTGCAGACACCCCCCATTTGCCAGACCTAACGTATTAACGCTTAGGGGAAGTGTGCAGGTATGAGGCCATCAGTCATTACTGACTGGCTCTTTGCCGCCTCTTGAGTCGGCATTCGTAAGGACGAATGTTTGGCATCCAACACGACAAAGAGCTAATGGTAACTCCTTACCCCTGCAGCCACTGATCGTGTGAAGACGGTGATTACAGACACCCCCCATTGTCCAGACCTAACGTTTTACCGCTTAGGGGAAGTGCGAGGTATGAGGTCATCAGTCATTATTGACTGGATCTTTGCCGCCTCTTGAGTCGGCATTCGTGGGCGAAAGTTTGGAATCCAACACGACAAAGATCCTATGGTATCTCCTTACCCCTGATAACCACCGATGACGCGAGTGACGACTGACACCCCCCATTGGCCAGACCTAACGTTATTCACGCTTAGGGGAAGTGTTCAGGTATGAAGCCATCAGTCATTGACTGGCTCTTTGCCGCTTCTTGAGTTGACCTTCGTAAATACGAAAGTTTGGCATCCAACACGACAAAGAACTAATGGTAACTTCTTACCCTTGTCAGCCACTGATCATGTAAAGTGAATAATGATTTCAAACACCCCCCATTTGCCAGACCTAACGTATTCACGCTTAGGGGAAGTGTGCAGGTATTAAGCCATCAGTCATTACTGACTGTCTCTTTGCCGCCTCTTGAGTTGACCTTCGTAAGTACGAAAGTTTGGCATTCAACACGACAAAGAACTAATGGCAAAGCGAATATGATGATTTTAAACACTCCCCATTTGCCAGATCTAACGTATTCACGCTTAGGGGAGGTGTGCAGGTATAAGGCCATCAGTCATTATTGACTGCTCTTTGCCGCCTCTTGAGTCGGCTTTCGTAAGGACGAAAGTTTGGCATCCGACGCGACAAAAAACCAATGGTAACTCCTTACCAGCATTAATTAAAGAAGGTGATTGCGGACACCCCCATTGACGTTATTCACGCTTAGGAGATGTGTTCAGGTATAAGGCTATCAGTCATTATTGACTGGCTCTTTGCCGCCTCTTAAGTTGGCTTTCGTAAGGAATCCAACACGACAAAGAACTAATGGTAACTTTTACCCCTGCCAGCCACCAGTTGTGTGAAAGTGATGATAGTGATTGCAGACACCCCCCATTTGCCAGACCTAACGTATTAACGCTTAGGGGAAGTGTGCAGGTATGAGGCCATCAGTCATTACTGACTGGCTCTTTGCCGCCTCTTGAGTCGGCATTCGTAAGGACGAATGTTTGGCATCCAACACGACAAAGAACTAATGGTAACTCGGAACCCCTGCCAGATAGTGATAAAAGATACCTCTAACGTTCTTCACGTTTAGAGGAAGTGTGTAAATAAGAGGCTAACAATCATTACTTTGCACCATGGTACGGTATTCAATAATTTTAAGTGTATATTTATAATATAATTTTTGTAAACAAATACGTCATATATGTATACGTCAATTTCAAAAATAAGTTCGTGTCACGCAGTCACGGTCGGGTTACATCACCATCACGTGACCCAACATTTTACTGTCTCTCGGAAAAAAGATGTAATGTTATC